GATCCACTCACTCGTCCTACCCTGGATCCCGTGCGCCTCCAGTTTAACCCGCAACCTCTTGTGAGGAACGGTATCGAAAGCTTTCGCGAAATCTAAATAGACGATGTCCACGGGATTCCCTTTATCCCTCTCTTCCGTCGCCCAGTCGTAGAATTCGAGCAAATTGGTGAGACAATTTCGACGCCTCCTAAAGCCGTGTTGAGAGTCCCGAATGAGCGCGTTTCCTTCGAGGAAATCCAAGAGATGGTCCCTTAGTATGCTCTCCATGATCTTCCCTGGGATACTCGTGAGACTTAAAGGCCTGTAATTTCCTGGATTACTCTTTTCGCCCTTCTTAAAGATCGGTACGACGTTTGCGCGTCTCCAGTCCTTAGGTACTTCCCCGCGCGAAAAGCTGCTATCGAATATAATTCGTAGCGGAATCGATATTTCTCTCGCGGTTTCCTTAATGACTCTCGCAGGAATCCCTTCGGGGCCGGTCGCCTTGCCCACCTTCAGCTTCCCTATCATATTCTCGTAGTAGTAGGAGAAAAGAAAGTGACATTTGGGACTTTCCCTCGGGGCTTACCGTTCACCATCTCGAACCTACCATTTCCGATTGAAGCCCGTAGAACGAGTTCGAGTTGAGGTAAAGGTAGGTGCTTTGCATGGAAAGACGAGATGTTGAAACTCGGAGATGCCGACGAATCGACATGGAAAGTATTCCCCCCGGAAAGTGGCAAGAGGATGTTCGGGTGCAAACCGTCGCTCTCAAACATCAGCAGCATTTCCCCGAACTCCGATTACTCTTGCTCTGAAAATGATCGATAACGGGTATGATTATACGGTAAATATGGTCTAGGTTCTGTCGGAAAGAAGAGCTCAAGGCACCTTGAAGGAAATAAAATATGCATGCTCGCTCAGAAAGGTGTTTCTTGTTGGGTATATTTGCGTTCAAGTGTCTCCAGAGCAGTCGTCGTTCCCTGCTTACTTGCGAGTCAGCATAGCAGAACATGATAAATTGCGTTTTCGGGACCCTGAGTGACCGACAAGAATCGCACTCCCCATCGCAACACGTAGATAAAAGGGTTGCTTAGCGATTTTCGCTTTCCATCTGGATTTCCAACGTCTCTGTCGACCCGGTAATCCTTAGAGGCATCAATCGCTGTCAGAAGCCAAGTATTTGTCGAGAGTCAGTGAAAATGCTGGGAAGGGTTCTTTCTTTCATCTACCCGTGTTACAAGAACGAAAAATCAGGTTCAAAAGGTAAGTTTCTTCTCATTTCTTCCAGATGTTGCAATGAGTATCAATGTAGGGCCATCGTAGGAGAATACTTGAATGAAAATGTGAAAACTCCATTTTCTATCGTATTTTCTTAAGTCGGTATGGAAACGAGGGTATGGAAACGGTATGGAAATTTCGCTCGATTAGTTGCATGTGGTTCTTTTGAAAGAGATTCCTCAGTATATCCTCTCTCTTGTTCGCCGAAGGGCATTGTGGCTGAGATTCAAGATTATTAGATCCACTTTAAAATGTTGCTCTTTCACCTGCGTCTTTTTTTGGGGATGGGCGTGGTCACATTTTGCAAGAAAAATTCAGCAACTCAAATACCCAAATGAAAACCCTGACGTTCTTCATAACCCTATTCGGACAGGGTTCTCTTTGGTTGTGGTTTGGGCGGGGTTTGAAAAGGGAAATACCACTGTGCCAATTCACCTCTACCTCTATACTTGAGATTTCAATGGCAAATTTTGCAAATGATGATTGATATTAGAGCAATGTACAGAGGGATTGAGGGAAAAGGCATCAACGACCACGAAAAAATCTTGACTCATCTCAGTGCAATTGACAATAGTAATGAAAATATGACTACGAAAATAGTTGCATGGATGGGTCTCTTGACCACCCGCTTCCGATGTGGACAATGTTTTATAAAAACTCCTCGAGTTCTGGATATGTTGAACGAATTCTCCAAATCGGAATTCTCATCGAGTCGTTGTCTCTCCAAACACGTCGCACCGACCTGGCAACAAAAAAAGGACTTTTCTCTCGGATGTCGGAGTCCATTCTCCCATCTCTTTGCGGCTCTACCTGTGCTCTTCTTGGTCCCTGTCACGAGTGATTAATCACTCCTTTCTATGAGTAATTCCGCTTCTCCATGTCCAAAACTGGAAAAATGCATTATTCATTTGAAACAGTTCCTTTCCTATGATGATGAGTATCTGCATAAAATACTTTCAGTAGATCATTAAACTGTTTCCCTTCTAAGCATGTCTTTTTCCAGTCTGTGGGTCCATCAATTTTACCTGGCTGAGTGAGCGAGAGCAATTTCATCCTCATGTGCTGCGGGAGTTTCACCCTCAG